AAGCTTGCCACGTTTCCATCCTGCAGTCTACCAGTCTTCCGGCAGCCCTCAAGCACAGCCTTCTTCACCCCGCCTGCCTCGACAGCACGGGTATCGCACGTCTTCTGGCTCCCGTGATGGCATGTGGCAGTATCGAGACCTCGTGGATGGGGCTGCCTTGCCCAAGTCTCCGGGAACTTTATCGCCGGGCCCATCCGCTCCGCGACTAGACCCTCTTCGCAGCCCTGGCCCGGTAACCCCGCTGGCGCTTGAAGAAGCAAGTGGCTACCTGGCCTCGGGCCCATCTAGCTCTTCCGACTTCTCCTCTCGAGAACACTCTGGGCCGGCCCCAGATATGGTGGACAGGCTAATTGCTCGGGAGACCGAGAGAAACCGACAGAAAGCCATGAAGCCCCTCAAGGGCTTCTAAGGTTATCGTGAATACATACACAGTGGCAACTGTCCTCGGGCGGATGGTTGTCAGCAATAGTTATGCTTTATAACATGACTTAGACCTCGGACTTCGAACTCCAGGTCTGATTGAGTGCTATCGGTGGCCTGCAGGACAGCACCGATTGTGAGCTTAAGTTTCGACTTTCTTTCGAGGCCATTCGTGCCAAATTGTTTCTTTTTCACCTTCTCCATAAAACCATCACTATGTATTATGAAATTATGCAACTATACCCCACAGCTGATCCGCGGGATTTCCCGGATATTTGTATTTCCTCTCCTCTTCTGCTATTATTGCCAATCGGGTCGACACTCCCTTGTTCCCAGAACCGAGTTTGCGCCTTTTTGCTTCCTACGACACTGTGTTATTTCGGGCATTGTATCATCAAGGGTTGAACAGAAACAGCCTGTCATCCTTGAGGTGGGACTGGAATGTGATGTTTTGCTCAGTTTGTTATATATACTTATGAATTCGGTTAAAGAAAGCGACAGTCGGTATAGACGACGTGGGAGGTGATTCATTGCTAGTTGCAAAATAGGCAATGACAGTGAACTGGGTTCGATCAAACCCCAAGAAAAGCAATAGGACACATAGTTAAATGTTGTCGGACTGACCTGCCGACAGCGGATTAGTTGCTATCTACTGTAGATACTGCACTACTTTGTACTATCAGTGCTCCATCTTTCGTACTAGTAGCAATGGATTAGAGCGACGTGAGTGGCTCCCCCAACCCTTTTGCCCCCCGATCAGCCGCCCGTCCGGTCGGAGCTGGGCTGCTGCTCCCCGAACCACCGGATTTTGCGGGGCGCATCTGCTGCTCTGCCTGTTCTTCTCCCCCGTCTTTCGCCTTTTGCTCCTCTGGGCCATCTTCCTCTCTTATAACTGCATACTAGAATACCCTGAGAACCATCGCTCTCATTCCCCATCCTGGTCAGAAGTTCGTGGCTCTCAACCATCAATGGACTTCCCGTGCGCTCGTTAATTCCGCTCATTGCTTTGTCCCGATAGCGGACCCCGACACACCTTCCTCCACGAATTTTTGATCCTCGGTCAAACCCAACCGACTCTCAATTTGACACTCCCACACATCCTTGAGTAGAGGGAACGACATACCAGCCTTTGCGACACACGAGCGCTTCCCTGTCGACAATGTCGTCGACGTCCGCACCGCTGCCGACCTCCACGACATCCGGAGTACCAGAGCAACATTCTTCCGGGATTATGGCCAAGGCCGATACACCAAAGAACAGCCCGCCAAAGTCACAAAGCTCTAAGCATGACTATAAAGGCTTTGTAGCGGGAGTCTTCTCAGGAATCGCCAAACTTAGTGGTATGTTCTGGCCCGCGGTGCGCATAGTCTGCGTGCTTTTTTGGGAGTAACCATCGCTAACAGATTCCGATGCATAGTTGGCCATCCGTACGTGACTGCGCACCTTCTTCCTCTTCCCCGCCACTTATACTGCCTCTCAATGGACAACTCCATATAATCTCACAAATTGACCATGGGTGATTCTCGCGCAGATTCGACACAATCAAGGTACGCTTACAGACGAGCCATGATGGGCATTTCCGGGGCCCATTGGACTGTCTGCTACAAACGGTCCGCAAAGAGGGTGTTAGTGGGTTGTATAAGGGAGCCACTCCGCCGCTGGTCGGTTGGATGGTCATGGACTCTGTGTGAGTAACTTTGCCCGGCGGCTGGAAAACGCCAAAAAGAGAAAAGAGAGAGAGAGAGAGAGAGAGAGACGGAAGGACTGATCAGTCAAACACAGCATGCTGGGTTCCTTAACCTTATATCGCCGGCTATTACTGGAAAGCGTGTTTTCGAAACCAGAGATTCGCGCAAGCATGCCGTTCATTGGCAAGCAGACGGATCTTCACACGCTCCCTAGCTTCGGTCATGGCATTGCGGGCATCATGGCTGGAACGACTGTCAGTTTCATTGCCGCACCGGTGGAGCACGTCAAGGCGCGTCTTCAGATTCAGTACTCTGCAGATAAATCCAAGCGCCTGTATAGTGGACCTATAGATTGCGTTCGCAAGATGGTAAGAAATACGGGTCTCCTAAAACGTCCGACCTTGTTGGCTGACCTATATACATAGCTTCGCACACACGGCATTGCCGGGTTATATCGTGGACTCTGCGCGACCATGGTATTTCGGTCGTTCTTTTTCTTCTGGTGGGGTTCCTACGACGTCCTTACTCGGTTGATGAAGGAGAAGACCAGCCTGTCTGCTCCTGCCATCAACTTCTGGGCCGGGGGGATTTCCGCGCAAGTTTTCTGGATCACGTCGTATCCGTCCGATGTGGTGAAGCAGCGCCTCATGACGGACCCGATGGGAGGCGCCCTGGGCGACGGGCAGCGCAGGTTCCAGTGGTGGAAGGATGCTGCAGTGGCGGTCTATCGGGAACGAGGGTGGAGGGGGTATTGGCGAGGGTTTGTGCCATGCTTCTTACGAGCATTCCCGGCGAATGCCATGGCTTTGGTTGCATTTGAGGGTGTGATGCGGTGGCTGCCGTGAGATCGTGGTTCGCCGCCGAGGCAGAAGGCGACGATGAAGCTACAGAAGCACAACACACGGATCTCGCTAGACCCGAACGATTAAAATGAACGGGACTCCAATAGATCCCTGAAAAGAAGGCTACGTTGTAATGTGATAGACGATAGAAATAGAATTGAATTCTCCAGCCAACCCATCCAACGGGCCCGATCGTGGGGCGCGTCTCACAGCAGGGATTCATCAATCTGGCCGGGTGCAACGGCCGCATGCGGCGATGCCTCGCCCAATGCAGCCACTGCTGCACCTTCCACTACCTTGTGCAATCCATGGAACAAATCCTTCGGATTCTTGTCTACGAAGAAATCAAGTTTGACTGACCCAAATCGGTGAGAGGAGACGGCAGGATGTTGTGGTAGACAGAAGAGACAGAGAGTGAGAGAGACAAGTGTGTGCAGGAGGTGAATCGGGAGACAGAGAGAGGGTTCGGGCTCCGCGTGTACTTTTTCCGGCCTGCTTCAACCTTGCCATAGTTCGTTCCATCCCGTCATCTCCAATCTATCTTCTTCCCTCACTTCCTCCTCATCTCCTTGTCCGTCTTGAACTTCTTCGCCTCCCTCTCCTTTCCCTCCGCAGTCTCTTCCGCTATGTCCGGGGCCCGGATCATCCGCCTTCTGATTGCTGGCTAAAGAGCTCTCTCGCCTTCTCGCCGGGCCAGATCGATTCCGCCGCCGCCTTATCCAATCGCGCAGTCCAACCACAACCATCACCTTGACTGCGAACCTCCCCCCTTCTCCCTCAATCAGCAAACGGCTACGATGGCCGTCGCACGCTCGATGCGTCGCACAAGCCCCATTACGGTCTTCCTGGCTGCTCTGCTAGCTTTCGGATTCCTTTGCTTTCTGCTCTCCCCTTCCTCGTCCGCCGCCGCCGCCGCTCCTCCTGTCACCGATTCCTCCTCGCAGCTACGACGAGAAGATGCCGCCGAACATCCCCTTTCTCCTCCGACGAAACCCTTCCTCAAATCTCAAGCCGTCCGCGAAGATGGCCTGAAAGCACCCCCGCCAGTGATGCACTACAATCTGAACGAGCTCAGCAGCACCAGCGAATCCATTAAGAAAGGGGAACGGGTGCTGATTCTGACCCCATTGGCCCGCTTCTACCAAGAATTCTGGGACAATGTAGTGAAACTGAGCTATCCACATGAGCTCATCTCGATTGGATTCATCGTCCCTAACACCAAGGACGGCCATGCCGCGGTCACCGCGCTGGAGCAGGCAATCAGCGAGACTCAGTCTGGTCCGATTGACAGCCGCTTCGCCAGCATCAGCATCCTTCGCCAGGACTTCGACCCGCCCATTCAATCGCAGGACGAGAAAGAGCGCCACAAAATGTCCAACCAGAAAGCACGTCGTGAGTCCATGAGTCGCGCCCGCAACAGCCTCCTCTTCACCACCCTCGGTCCTAGCACCTCCTGGGTACTCTGGCTCGACTCCGACATTGTCGAGACCCCAGCGACCCTTATTCAAGATCTGACTGCCCACAACCGACCTGTGATTGTCCCGAACTGCTTCCAGCGCTACTATAACAAGGATGCCAAGAAGATGGATGTCCGCCCTTATGACTTCAACTCGTGGATCGACAGTTCGACCGCCGAACAGCTTGCGGAGACAATGGGGCCGGACGAGATCCTCCTCGAGGGATACGCTGAGCTGCCCACCTACCGCACCCTGATGGCCTACATGGCAAATTCCGGGGCGCCCCGTCCTAGCCGCGAAATCGAACTCGACGGCGTCGGTGGAACAGCACTCCTTGTCAAAGCGGATGTGCATCGTGACGGCGCCATGTTCCCCGCCTTCCCGTTCTATCACCTCGTCGAGACGGAGGGTTTCGCCAAGATGGCGAAGCGTCTGGGATATTCCGTCTACGGCTTGCCTGATTACTTTGTACGTTCCCCTACAATTTCCCATCCGATTGAACCCACTAACGCCATGGCCACAGGTGTATCACTATAACGAGTGATGCGATAGATTTCAATTACGAGATGAGTTCACATGAAGCGAACATCCAACAATAGACCGGAACGGAGAATGTTTTTTTTTTTTTTTTTCTTGCTTTGCTTTATTTTGCTTTGATTAGACTATCCTAGTTGGCGATTTCCACGTCCACTACAAGATTCAGACTTCACTTTATCCATCTACATCTACTTGGGGCGTTATTATTTTACGTCCGCGCGCTGGGCGCTTAGTGGTTCTGGTGTTCGGGCTGAGTAGCTGTCTTACAACTACTACTACTATATATAGTTAGGATTTATGTCCATTTGCTATACACTGCACTCGCCTGTTCAATGCGCAAACAGTCAATAAGCCGAGGAAGCGTAGGTTTCGTCCGTGCAATATGGACGAGATTACTCCTTAGTGGTAATATGGCACTAGTACCTCGAAACTTCGGTATTGAAATTGTCTATTCTGTGGCGAAGTCCACACCATTATTTACTACTAAGATACTGATTCTATATCCATAAGCCGTCTCTCCGTTTTTCAATGTGCTTCCTTCTCATAATCGTCAGTCGAGCTATCGCGTTGGGCTTGTTGTCTAATCCCAAGAAATGCTACGATGACCGTTAGCGATGGAGATAATCACGATGTGTCGTACCAAGGAAGGAGGGATAGAAACATACACAAGCATAATCCCCGCCCCAACCATAACGGCCAAGAACTGCACGATTGTCTTCTTGATCTCCACGCGCTTATCCTTGCCCGTTTCCAATAACTCCGGGATAACGGAAACTGTTCCTACGTAGAGGAATGTCCCTGCCGTGAAGGGTAGGAGCATATCGCCCCAGGTGAGGCTTGTTCCGAGGAGGCCGGTTGGCAGGCTATTAGTGGATGTGGAGGTGGCAGCAGTGGAGCCATTCCCGCCCAACTCTTGGACGGCGATTCCGATGAAAGTGCCGAGGAAGGCGCCAATGGCTGTGACGAATTGCGCGCCCATAGCTTTGCGCTTTGAGAAGCCGGATTGGATGAGGAGTGCGAAGTCGCCAACCTCGTGGGGGATTTCGTGGAAGAAGACGGCGACAGTGGTGGTTGCGCCGATGGTGGGGGAGGCGTAGAAGGACGAGGACATGGCGAGGCCGTCGGTAATGTTGTGAGTGAAGTCGGCAATCAGGTTGAGGTAGCCGCCCAATTTGACGCTGAGGTTGATATCCTTCTCGTCGTCCTTGTCGGCGGGTTGGGGAGCGGTGTTGCTGCTTGCGGGCTTGCGCTGTTTGAGATCGGTGGAGGGTTGCGGGAAGGCGCCGGTTGTTGTGCCTGTGGGTTTGTGGTCGTCGTTGGCGCTGTCAGTGTGAGCGTGGGCGTGGGAGTGGTCGTGTCCAGCTCCTCCGGTGGCGATACGTAGGGTTTTGTCCATTGCGACGAAGGTGAAGAAGCCCACCATGATTCCCAGGCCCAGGAGGAGGTTGCGGTTTGGCTCAACCATCACGAAGCGAACATGGTCTGGGGAGTCTTCGCCGAGAAAGATCTCGGGGAGCAAGTGGAAGATGGTATCGCCTAGGAGGCCGCCTACTGCGAACGCGACCATGACGGACAGGGAGGAGGGATCGATGTTTGGAGGGCATAGGGCCAGGAGGAAGTCTAGTGCGGGGGACATGGTTATGATTGTTAAAGGTTTAATGCGAGAAGTCACATACTAGGGGGGCCGGAGATGTAGATCGTCGCCAGGATAGCATTTACTGCAGGACTGCCGGGGAAGAGGATGGAGAAGATCTTGGAAGTCAAGCTGGTTGTTTGGGGAGCTGCGGCGCGCTTATGCTCGTTAAGGGACTCGACGAGGGGGCAGTTCTAGATGGCATTAGTTAGGTATGTTGAGGGAGGAGTGGGAAGATCGATGACTCTGTTTCCCAGATAGAACTTCAAGGATGCAAGGGGCACGAGCGTACCTGCAACTCCTCCTCAATCTGTCCCACAGACATGTCCCCTACAGAGATAGCATCATGCGCAACAGCTAGTGCGGAGAAGAGAACAAGACCCGCAGCGAGCGCAAGGCCCATGCGCCGAGCTGGAGCCAGAAAAGAAGGTGCCATGATAACAATTGATCAATTGTAGGCGACCCCAAGAAAGACTAGAAGAATATTTGAAGAGAGAAAGAGAGGGGAAGATGCCGGTGAGATAAATATGATGATGCGCCGTTCTCGGATCTCCATATCCCGGCCTAATTTGTTATCGCCGTATCGGGACCCTGCAGCAAACACGCCAAGCCCCTATCAATGCAAACATGCAAACTCGATAAGATCCCGTTTTCTGTCGCCGCAATTTTTTGAGCTTCAATTCCGGTCCTTCGACTACTTCACCCCACTTTGGACATTGCAATTCCATTTCTGGCACCATGGTTAACATCAGACAAGCCAAGAAGAAGAGATCTTCTTTGCCCAAGGCAAAGGCCAAGAGATCCGGCCTCCTCAAGAGCGGCAAGAAGAAGATCAATGTCTTGGGAAATGCCATCATTGCGGAAAATTGGTACGTCTATGATCGGACAGAACAAATTGGGAAGAGCCATTACTTCTAGACTGTGTACTAATCCTGCTCTCGAATAGGGACCGCAAGCAGACCCTCACTCAAAACTACCGCCGCTTGGGTCTCGTCCACCGCCTCAATGCTCCCTCTGGTGGTTCTCAGAAGCGCGCAACCGTGAACGGTATCGAAGGAGAGCCCGAAGATTCGTTGTACATCAAGAGCAGCACTGAGGCGCTTGCCAAGCAAACCGCCACAAGCGATATCAAGGTTGAGCGTGATCCCGAGACTGGCAAGATTCTGCGTGTGATTCGCGGTGCGGCCGACGAAGAGGTCGAAATCGCCGGACGCAAGGTCAAGCGCAACAACCCGCTGAACGACCCCTTGAACGACCTGTCGAATCATGGGATTGTTACACAGCCCCGCCAAAATGCCTCCGGAAATGCTATTGTTGAGCAACTCGAACGCCAGGCTGCGCAGGAGGGAGTTTCCGTCAGGGCGAAGAAGCCGCGCCATCAGAGCCAGAGAGAGGAAGAGTGGGTGACGAGATTGATTGAGAAGCACGGGGACAACTACGCAGCCATGGCTCGCGACCGGAGATTGAACCCGATGCAGCAGACGGAAGGAGACTTGAAACGGAGGATCCGCAAGTTCCAGCAAAGCCGGTCATGATTGGGATTTGAATTGATGCATTTCTATCGGCGAGTATGGCGTTTTGACAGGGCTGATTTGGGATAAAAAGTTGCTTGCGGCTGGGTTGTTGGACCACGTCCGAATTGTCTCTGCTTTTGCGGTTATACCATCTTATAGACTACATCTGTGCATGTCTGGCACAGGTCGCAAATGCTAATACACTTGATTTGGTCATACAACATTGCTGCGCTTGCTCATGAACATTATTCCACTATTTGTGCTACCACGTGAACTCAAGCACAACCAGCATGAGCCATGAGCATGCCCATTCACTGGATTATATGCAACACAAGTCGCGAAGCTATCCACAGACGCGTCGAAGACGCCTGGCGCGTTCACGTAGAAACATTCAGGTCCAAACCATCTAGTCCTTGAGATCTCTACTCCTTATCTTCCTCTCATCCTTCTCATCTCCTCTATCCCAAACAACGCCAGGATCAGGGCCATCACCATGGCTCCCAATCTCCTTGCCCTAACCACTCTACTGGCTTTCCTGCTCACTGTCGCTGCGCAGATAGCATAGTCTGCCTACCCTCTCCCTCTATTTTCTACAATGAACTAGAAATCTAACCAAAATGAAACGAATTAACAGTGACCCCGAAACCAACTCCCTTCTCTGCTCCAAGCCCGGTGGCAGCTACTGCGCCTCCGGCTCCCTTGAAGGCCCGACCATCATCACTTGTGCATCTCAGCACACTGTGGAAATCAGCTCGTGCAACATCTTGTACGCCGGGCCTCTTCCTTCCAATGAACAGGGAAAGTACTCACATTGATGAAATATGTAGTTTGAAGGACCTCCTGCCCGAAGGCTATGAGGAGAAAGCTACCTGTACTTACCCCTCTTGAACTATATATACTCTCCATTATAGACGCAGTGCTAAAGAAAGAATAGGTTATGAAAACACTCCCTGGGCTGGCGAAGCTCTCTGCGCCTTCAACGGAACCGGCTATGCCCTCATTAAGAAGTCCAGAGATGTTGTTCCTGTCTCTGTGCCGGAGACTATCCTCTGCGGTGACGAAGACGAAAATGACCCCCAGACTTGGGACGATTCCAATGATGAAGAGGATGCTTTCGTTTCGTATGTCGATGATGAAGACGACGACGCAGAGGATATTTTCGACCCATATGTCGAAGATGAAGGCGATGATGCAGAGGATACTTTCATCCCGTATGTCGATGATGAAGACAATGATGAAGACGATGAGCAGGAAGGAGAAGGCCGTCTTCTCTTCGCTCCAAAGGAAGATACATCCGCGGGTCCTACGCTCCCCTATCCTCCTCTTCTGCCGGCTACTCATCCGCGAAAGACTGCGTCTACATCTGGACCTTCGTCAACACTGAATACGCTGAGTACGCTGTTGAGTATGACCTCTAGCCCTTCATCTGCGACTGAAACTGCAGCCTTGCAGGAAGTGAAAAGAAACATACGTGAACGTGCGTGCTCTGATCCGTGGAAAATACCCTTGTCCTCCTTTTCCATCCAGGATATGGGCTTCTCTACTATCTCTTCTACTTCCACTATGGACAGTACTACCGCTGGTGGTGGTCACCGTCAGCCTCTATCAACTTTCACCTCGACTATCTATGCGAGTCGGAGTGCAGGAGTTGCAGCAAATACCGTCACTGTCACCACTACTGAAAGTGGCACTCCAACATCTGCGGGTGTGTGGGACGATGACCCTGAGAAAGAAACTACCCCGGTCAAGACAAGTGACGCCAACCATACTTCTGAGAGCGGTTCGGAAATGCGTGCGCTGGAGGATCGAATCATTTTCCAGGATTTAGCTATTCTTTGGGTCTTATGGGTGGTCCTGGCGTACATTTTGGGTTGAGGGGGGAGTCACGATTCGATGGGAATCGGACATTAGTAATAAGTTGATGGTGGTTGTTTTCTTTGATGGGGTGTCAATTTCGTGATTTATGCCTTCGATTCGATACAGCGTTGGAGTTCGTGGGAGTTTCACTTGGAAAAAAGATCACCGGGCGTTTATTGAGGGAAAAGTTCTGCCTTGGCTTTTACTGTGATGTATTCGCTGGCAATGGAAATGGAAAAGCTTCTTCTCTCTACGTATCTATCTAGCGGATCCTTACATGTCTTTGACGAACCCCTGCTTGGACACTCCTCCCTGGTCCAACATGATATAGTAATCTGCATCTTTGATGGCCTCCAGTCGATGCGCGATGGTAATAACTGTTGACTCTTTCATCTCCTCTCGTAGCACTTGCTGGATCTCGAGCGAACTTTCATGGTCAATTGAGGCGGTCGCTTCGTCTAGGATGACAATTGAGCTGCGACGCAGCACAGCTCTCGCGAGACCGATTAGCTGGCGTTCTCCCTGGCTGAGATTCCGTCCGCCTGCTTCAACGTGCGTCTCCAAGCTCCAGCCGTGTCGACTGCAAATTCGTTTCAGCACGTCTGCACATTCTGCATCAGAGTACTCCCCTATCGGGTCTAGGTTCAATCTGATGCTGCCAGGGAAGAGAACGGGGTCCTGCGCAACAAAAGTGACCCGAGTGCGTAGAGCTTGTCTGCTGACTTGTGTGATGTCCAGATCGTCGATAAGGATGCGTCCCGAGTCGGGACGAATGACACTTAGTAGTGACACGGCCAGTGTGGACTTGCCGCTACCGGTTCTACCGATTATAGCTGTTGTGGAGCCCCCTGGTATGCGCAGAGAAACATCTTTGAGTGATGGATCCAGGTGAGGCGCATATCGGATGGTCACGTCTTCAAAGACGATGTCACGGCCAAACTTGGGCCACGATGCAGGTGGGTCTATTATTCCAGGTGATTCTTGCTCAACGTGAAGCAGCTCGTCTACCCTCTCGACGGAGACAAAATCCATTTGCAGTTGGCCATATTGCTTGCACAAGGCATGGGTGGACGCAACAAAATTATTGGCTGCTACGAGCACGAACGCTGCTAGACCAGGTGAGACGCTCGTGTACAAAGCCAGAACAGTAAGGCAGAATGTTGAAAAGGCGGAGAGGCTCTCAAATCGAAACATGAGCCAGCTCTGGAGAGACCAGTAAAAGTGGTCCATTCCCTGGAATTTATCCACTACCGCGATGACTCGATCCTGGAAACGCCCTTCGGCATGAAATGCGCGAACGGTGGTCAGGCCGTGAAGCAGTTCACCGAAGTTAGATATCAACGGGCTTAGTGACACCATCTCTAAACGCCGAAGGCTTTGCGATGTTGGCAGGAAACGGAGAAAGACCACAACAAATGCTGCCGTTAGTACGAGTGAGAATCCGAGAAAGGTCGGCGTCACTGAGGCTATTACAATAATTGACGAGACCCAAGTAATAGCCTGAAAAGCAATCATTTGGAACTGTTCGCTGATATTTCCATCAACAACGCCGATGTCAGAGGTCAAACGATTCATCAACCGGCCAATGGGAGTCACATCGAAGAACCGAAAAGTAGCATGGCTGACTCGTACCATAACTTCCTGGAAAAGCGTCTTTCCTGCGCTGTAGACCATCACAAGCATCACAAGCTGTGCAACCAGAAGGACAATTGATTGGAAAGTGGTAATGATAAAGAAGGCCAGCAACCAAGGTCGGACATCTTCGACTGGGGCCGGAAATTCGTCAAAAGGGTTAGAAGGTCTCCAATGGATCATTTTCACCATGGCCGATGGTGTTATCCAGTCACCCGCGAAGGATTTCTTGTTCGTGCCTAAGTATCCGAACAATGAAAGTGTTTCATTGTAGGCTTCTCCCCACTCCTTCAAAAACCAGGATTGTCCCACGGATGTGGATCGGTACACAGCGAGCACGAGAATCAGGGTTATCCACCATCTGTATTTGCTGGCTTTGATGTATTTCCAATACACTCTAGCCTTGACACCCCATTCTGCGCGATGTTCTTCTTCGATGAACTTTGTTGGCACTGCAGCTGTCTCGGTGAGTGCCGTTTCGCTCTCAGATTCAGCCTCGCTTGTACCAGATGAAATATCAGACGAACTGGATTCCGAATGACCACTGTCACGAGATGAGAACTCATGTTTATCTTCGACAACTGCACGGCCCTTCTGTATGAGGACAATCTGATCTGCCATCTGTCGAACCAGATGAATTCTATGAGTGACCAGCACAATTGTACGATTCTGCATCAAGGGACCCGAGAAACATTTGCGGGCGACTGTCTCAGCTGTGTTATGGTCTAGAGCTGACAGGGGGTCATCGAGGAACAGTATCCTGGCAGCGCTGTACATTGCCCGTGCAAGAGCCACCCGGGCCTTCTGTCCGCCAGAGAGACCGACTCCGTTCTCACCCACAAAGGTCAAATCTCCATGCTTAAAGTTAGACAAATCAGGCAACAAAGCGCAGGCATCCAGCACTCGTCTATAACGCCGCGCATCATACGGCGAAGAGAACAATATATTGTCCCGTATACTCATGCTCTGCAGCCAGGGGGTCTGGGCACAGTATCCAATCATTTCATTTGGTACGTATGAAACACCAGCGAGCCTGTCCAGTTCGCCAAGCAAGGCTTGGAGTAGAGCCGTTTTACCAGCTCCGACTTTGCCGTACACAACAGTTAGCCCTTGGGGTACTCTCAAGTCGACCTCGTGCAGGACTGGCAACTGTCTACCGGGCCAGGCAAAAGAGCAATGATCCAGCTGAATTGGTGCTGGCTCGGCATCGATGGTATCCTTTTTTTCTTTATCGGGCTCAGCCATGAAGTCCTCGATTCTCTCCATAGCTATAGATGCATTGATCAGCACCGTTATGAGGCTCGGGATATCCCTGAGACGAGTCTCGAGCATCGTAAAGAGTTGGAGAGCAGGGAAGATAATGTCAATGCGTAATGGATTTCCCGCCAAAAGAGTATACGCATATAGCGCCACTACAGGGAAGAGGCCACTGGCGAATGTGTTGATAAACCGGATAACGATACCCCACAGCATGGTGATAATGCGAAGATTCAACTCAGATTGTCTGGCATCCATAACCTGGCGTAACCAGTGATTCTGCCATCCATACCACCGAAGATGACGCAGCGCCTCCACAAACTGGGAGGAAACTTGTAGTCGAGCATCTGTTGCAAGCCGGCGTACTCGTTCTTTTCGGAGCAGGACACGAGTGACAAATGCATTCAGAACTTGCGCGATCAAAACTGCCACAATTCCCAAGAAGCATGAAGGGCCAAGCAGTTTCCAGACTAGCACAACCGCGATGACTAGTCCTAGGGGCTTATCGACCAATGTGTCGATCTCCCAGAAACGCTGGGCCACTTCGTAGACATCCCCGCGCAAAAGGTTGAATATCTTACCCATTGAAGCAGTTTCTTTGACCTTTTCCTTGCCGGTGGCTCGCCGAAAGACAGAGAATTGCCACCACTTGCGCTGTTCCGGCTGCGCATCCATATCAGTACTGTCTTCATCTTGCAGCCTATCCTCCTCTGCTTTGTCGACCAATTGCTGATCAAAGACATTCTTTCTAGATAGAGCTTTCTCATATACCATCATGATCATCTCGCCCCGACTTCTCTCATAGCTACGTCTTCCGTACCATAGACTTAAGACTTGCGACTGCGCGGCAATCAAGCGGAGGACAAGAGATAGCAAAGCATATGTCAGGGCAACACGGTTTGACGAGCCACGGTCAGTCATGGCTTGTAACAACTGTTGGAGCAGTACAGGTGTAGAAAAGTCTACTATGTCGTCAGCATCATCACATTATGTGTGCGTCATTAGGGACTGACCGCAGAGCATCTGCACAATGGCAATCGTGGTAATGATCAGGACATCGATACCATTGGCCTGGAGTAGTCGGCCGATGACAGACCCTCTTAGTCTGCGAAACTTCTCATGTAGCTTGCGGTGCTGAAATTCAAACCCCAAGAACCAAACATCTTCCTCTTGCAACTGCCTCTTCCTGCCAATAGAAATCAACGGGGCCATCCATGACACGCTCAGGAATTGCCAAAGCCGTAGATTATCCTCGGGGCTGCGGAATTTACTGGATGGTGCTTGGCCAACAGCACCGATATCCATGCAGGGAAGTAAAGGACCTCGAAGCGGCATCACAAGGATCACGAGACATCCAATCAAAGCAGTACCGGCTGCGACATGATGAGGGGCGACGATCGATTCATGCACATCATAAATTGTTATAAAGGCAATTTCTACTGCCAATATGCTAATAAAGAAAGTGAGTAATGAAAGAGGGCAAGATCTCGGACGGGCTATTGCGATCAAACAAGTTGCGGCTGCCTACCCATGCGTCAGTGTAACAACTCTCACGCAGGGACGGCCTCGGCTTACCCAGGCTATAAGAAGAGAAAGAGTATATGACCACCCCAGGAGGATTAGTTTGATAATCTCGGTTGATAACCCTACCAATGAGATGGCAAATAGGGTTATCACCCAGCCCATCCGTTGTTTTGAGCCATCAATTGGCAAATCGGGGGACATGGGTTGCTCTGGAATGAAAGGTATGGTCCATTGAGGACGCTTTACTATGGATATGTTATGGAGTATATAGCCTAGTACAGCAATTGAGATGACAATTGCGGGTATGGTAGACATGTATCCCATAGCACATGGGGACAACCGCGCCCCGCGCGAGTCCTAGTAACATAGAAATATGTCAGTGGATCACAACCAGTAAACTTCTTCATCATTGTGATTGCTGCAGATTGTTGACCTACCCATATCCATTCACAGGAGATGACCGCTCCATAGTGCTGTTCAACCGGCATTGGAGGAAGATATCGAGTGATGCGTATCCTAGGACACTGGGACTGTCCAGAGGAAGCAAGGTATTGGGAGCTGTCAGCCCGCAAGTCCCCTTCAATCTTATCGCAACGGCGGATCATCGGCGTTGCCTCCGAAACATACGCTGCTGCCTTAGGCAGTACTTACCGGATGCGGCACTTCCCCACATAAGTGCCAGCATCTGGTCGTTTCACATGGCTACTATTACTACGAAAGAAGTCTTTACAGGGACTCAAGTTTTATCTTCAACAGTGAGGTGGTATTTTAGCAAGGTGAAGTCTACCTTGGGTCTCCGATGAATAACCTGCACTGTGTAGAAGAAGGTGATAAAAAAAAATAAAGAAAAACAATTGATAAGTGTCCGATAGTGCCCGAAGCGAATCCATCAACACTGTGGAGCCTGGTTGCCACAAGCATGGTAATCGTACGGTATCAGGGTGGGCCTCGAGACTGCTGTGATTGCAACTTGGTTAGCGTGGGTCGGATTATACATGTCCACTTGCTTGATGCTCTTCGGGGCATGTACGATGTTGATCTGAATGCCATCCAAATTTGGTGGATACATCTCATCTCCAGTATCGTTCTTCAATCGTACATGTCCTCAGGTATCGTTGGTATCGTCGTCAGCTGCTTGATCGTACTTATCGGCAGCCGGTAAACTAACACGGTGCACGATGCGAATCCATCGTCTCCTTCTCCATTCCCCCGTTACATGGGATCCGGTGTGCACCTTCTCCTCGTAATCTTGGGAGACCCTTTCTTTCCCTTTCTTTCTGCCTTTCCAATCATGTCCTTTTGATGGGTTTATCGAGTCTAGGACATCATATGCTAGCGTAGACACTGCCTCCTCATATCTGCTGGAGGCTGGAGGCAGGTCCCAGACCCAACCCCCAATCTCACCACTGGTCATGCCACTTTCCGATGGACTGCCGGAGACCTCGAAGCCAACTCCGGTGATCATGCGCTCCACAACCCACTCGCGACAGTCTAAATCTAATTCCCACTTCTTGCCTTTCCACGCCCATCCAGACGGGGGTTGGACATCCTCGAAGAATCGACAACCCTTGGGACGATCACCGGCAATGCGTGAGGGAGAGAGCGGATCGTATGGCATAGGACTGAACAGAAAATGTTCCCATTGAGATTCCGAGTAAGGAGCAAGGGAGCGGTATTGGATCTCGAATACCTCAACCTCCCGCTCCTCTGGGGAGGAGTCCAAGGAGATATTGGCCAGTGATTCCATTAAAGACACGGCTTTTGAGGGCGAAGCAGGCATGGCCAGACCCCCAAGGTTGAAAGATTCCTGGCCCTTTTTATCAGCCGCCGGACCTTCTTCCGCTGTGTTATCCAACATATCCTCTGCAAGACTCTGTACTAGATCTGGAAAGCTTGGGTGCATTGACAAAATGGCTGCATTGCCACCAACAAGGAAAATCAGTCGCCACGGGAGAAGGTGAGCGGTTAAGAATAATAGAGCTGCCATGAGCGTGCATGTAAGAAATACTGTCGATGATAGTTTCTCATTCGAGAAGTTTGTCAAGGGCGCAAACGCGGACACTGTCGCATCATGTACATCGGAATAATCTGCCATGCAGTTTTGCAAGTCTCTCATATTCCGAAAGAAATCCTTAGACGTCTCCGACGCTGGTTTAATGGTTTTGGCAGGAGCAAGGGCTGGGCCTTCGTATGAGTAGTAGGGGGTGATGCTGGAAGTGGACGTCGAGGGAGGTGGAGGGTGGCGTGCGAGGAACGCAGGTACCATAACAAAGAACAAGAGTACGGCGAACGGAATAATGACAAGAAGATGGGGATCTAAGCATATGAAGGAATATACGAAGAGAAAGGAGACTGTGTGAGAGGTCTGTTTCCAACTGAGCAGACGCTCCACACGGGTTTGAAACAGAAAAACAATGCCAATCCTACCAAATACATCAGCATTTGAAGTAGCCAGATACTGGGAAGAGTGTTTTTTCACCTTGCATTAAACCGACGGAAATTGTTGGCCATCAGAGGTAGACTAAACGCCGGCCGTTTACTGTCGATGGGAATTGGCTTGTCGCCGACTGACACTGATTCAGCATCGACGTCTTCGACGGGCATAACTTGCTCCAAGATCCTGAAACGGACCCAGTCAGCCAAGGCGATTCATGCGACATTAATATAAGAAGGGGATATTTATAGTTGCCTACTTGGAGAGAATCCTATCTTGTAGAGAGCGACCGGCCTTGGACACTGATCTCTTCAATACCCCAGGTTTTGATCTTTCGGCATCGTCATTGTGCTTCCCAGCGGCGATGACCGGGACAGGCTCGTCACGATTGACGAGGGCGTCCGTAGTGTGATCTTCCATGATGTCCCATCCAAGATGATGCGAGTCGCATGAGGCGAGGGTGCATATCTGATGGCAGAAGGCCAACTCAGGGAAGAAGAAAGCAAGTAGCTCGGTTGGCTGGTAAGTCCGAGAAGCACATGCAGAGAGAGCCGCGGGAGCTTATCGGGCCCTCACCATGTCAGTGGCTGTATGGAAGAGTAAGGATGGCGGGTAAGAAACTCTCAGTCACTATGGAGTACTCCTATGTATCATCTGTACCCAACTGGTAAAGATGATACGTCTCATACGCACCGTACGGTACGAGATCGACAGAACATTAAGCAGCAAAACCAGTGGTGTTTGAGTGGTTTGCAAACCCACCGGGCCCCATTTTTGTAGAAGCAAAAAGGAGCAGGGGGGCACAACTGGTTTCGCGATACGTTAAGAGCGCTTTGGGCTAGGAATTATTATTGTTGTTTACCACCGCTTTGTCTTCTTCCTCCATTTTCCATTTTCCACTTCCTCGTCCTCTTACGCTTCCTAACAGGCCCCGGGAGGGTTACTCACTTCTTTGTCTGATCGCTACCGGCCGTGTATTTCTACGTCTGCCCTCGTCCCCGTTCCTATTGTCTGGTTTCGTCCGTTGCTAAGGTATATGCGCCCGTAACTTTCTCTCCAACGCCAAGTCTACCAGAACTCCTGTCCTCGACCAGAGTCTCCCTTCTGCAATCCGACGCCCGTTTCCATCTTGGATCATTTTGGCTCGGAAGGGCGCTTGGGATCGATCTGTCAAAGCTTTCTGGAAGATTTTCGACGGTCTAACTTGCTACCCAGGTTTCTCGTCGACATCCCGGAACAGAGATCGCTGTTCTTGATCCCCGCAATGGACCGGTAGCAACTATCGATGGGTCGCGCGACGGTGTCGATAAAGGTTCTGCTTGGTTTAGATACTAAGCAGTCGTTTACTTCTGAACGCCACTGCGATTGGGATTTCATTTCGATTCCTTCGCCAATCTGAGCTACCATCTTGTTGCCTGCCCGTTTGTTCGTCGGATGCTGCTTCTCGGTCGGAGTTGAGGATGTCGGAAAATCTAGCTTTCCAGCAAACTCCAGGAAAGGGGCAATCGCGCAGGGTACAATCAAGACCATCTAGCCCATCTCGTATCGATGATACAAGCTCAGCAGGTAAGTGTTGACTTGAGGATGGAATTCGGACTGTTTGCGGGTGATTAAAGATCGAAGCGTTAACACTACCCTCAATTGAAGCAGACGGTCCTACGCGCAGACGATTGCAAAAACACGCCTCAACCCCGTTCCTGTCAGATACTTCCTCTCATTCCCCTAAAACCGCTGCTGGGACCCGAACTGGCGTGATGAGCAAGAGGAGACTCTCAATTCGAGACCAGAAAGTGCCACAGGGCCCGCGACCGCAGGATCCCTCACGAACAAGGTAGTTGGACCTCCTTTTCCCCATTCCGGTGGCTCGTTGCCCCCCTTTTCGAGACAATTCGTTTTCTTCCTTGGTTCATGCGCCAAACATACTCCTTAGAAATATCATGTGTGACGCTGGTCTGACCTTGATGCTTTACAGCAACATGTCTGGTTCCTTCTTCCATTCCGGTCACTCTTCGATTGATTCCACAAACGATTCGACGCAGAGCAACAACTCCCGCATCAGCCTCCGATCTACCAGCATAAGTAACTTCTCAAAAATCGAATACAATAAACAAACCCCTCCTGATAGCACCGAATTCCTCGCCCCCGTCAATTTCGATGATCTCCAGAACAGCATAACAGAGCCTAACCTCAGTCACTTTCCCACTCCTGGACAGGCGGGAGCTGGGTATGAAACAAGGCTTCCGAACAACAGTAACGATAATGGCACGACCACTAGGTCAAGAAGCAATTCCGTTCGGCGGAAGAGCCTGGTCAACGGTTCTATCGACCCAGGATCGGCTCGGGCTCCAGCTTCAGCCACGGCTGCCCGAAGCCGTCGCCAGAGCCTAGCTCAGCCTACAGCCTCGACCACAACTACTTCGCGCGCTCCTCGGAAGTCCATCGGCCCTGGCTCTCTCGCGGCAACTGGGACCGGCAGACGGCAAAGCCTGTCAGCACGAAAAGCTAGTGCAGACACAACACGGATGGAACAAGGCAACCTTCTGCGTCCGAGAACACAGCATTTCGAACCGGCCCGACAACAGGATGGCACGAAACTCTCTGGCAATTCCCGGAGCATCAAGGCCAAGTCGCTGCAACCGCCATTGAGGGAACCCCAAGAGATCTACCTGACAGCATCTGGCCCTGCAGAGCATTCTCGTTCTTGTTCGACCAATGCTGTTCGAACCCCAGTCAAGAACGCGGCAGCTCCCATGGCAACTCCGTCGTCTTCATCCAAAAGGGTTTCGGTTATGCCGCCACATGCTACTGGCCTGGGGGCGCGGACAATAAGCCCCACTGATGCGCGACGAATCAAGCGTATGTCTACGGTGCCATCGGCGCAACAGGCACCGTTTACCCCTCCGACTCAGACAGAGCCTGTGCCTACTCGTCCTCGGTCCACTGCACAGTCTCCTTCGCATATTCCGCGAAAGAGCGTGACCCCCTCGTCTACTCGTACTACGCCTGACCCAAATCGGAAATCCTATAGCTCTGGCTTGTCTCTGTCATCGAACACCAGCTACAACTCCGCAAGGAATTCGGGCGGTTCATTACAGACCAGGCTATCCCAGTCTTCATCCACGTCACGTCTGCCCACCCCTAAGCCTCGTATGGAACATGCGGTGGCCGATGAGGAGGTTCCGCCTGTCCCTGCAATTCCAAAGGCGTACGAGTCACCCAAAGGCGATTTTGACCCACCGAATTATGTTACCCCCCGAAAGCCAAGTCTATACTTGGACGTCGAGCCCACGGCTAAAGCAGAACAAGACTCTGACACAAATCAAACAGCGAGTGCGACCGAAGATGATACACTTGGAGCCAATGATGAGCGAGCTTTGAAAACACCGGATGCGAAAACTAAACCATCCGCCGGGCTGGCGAAAAAGAGTTTACAGCCCTTAAAGTTACCGCCGTTGAATTTACTTCCTCTGGGTACCCCAATGACGACGAAGATCGAGGCGTTGAAGGACCGGGATGATGACGTCAAATCCTACACGCCTTCAGCACAGACTCTGTCTAAAACCCCCAGTACTCCGTTAACCGCCTCCAAGGCAAATTTCTTCTCACCTCAGGACAATGAGGATGCAGTGCCACTTACCCAGGCTAGAAGTAGCACGTCGCATTTCGCCTTGAGTACATCGTCAGGTAGTGCGGCTCTTCGGACGGCCAGCAGTTCTAGTGCGCTGGCGGCTTTCGACAATATTTCTGCTGGTACAAGAACCGTTTCGCCATATGTTGCGTACAGCTTGCCGAAAAGCACTAGCGACTATACTGCTCTGCGCCCTAAAGCTACCGAAGATTGCTCTCCCAAGGTGACGCAGTCTCACAAGCTCACTGGGCCTCGTCCCCAAACACGATCATCTGCCTTCTCCTCCAATGCCGAGACTATCAGTCAGCTTTCGACTCCTTCTGACCCCGACAACAACAGCGTGTCGGGCTCCTCCCTCCGCAGTAAGATCACGTTCACTCGGAACCGCAGCAGTTCCAAGCCCCAACAGGGGCTCGAGTCAAATGGCGACCCTATAAAACTCGAGAAGATGCCCCCACCGAAGCTCCCAGCCTCTGCAACTTGGAGTAATATGTCAACAACGAGTACCTCTAGCCCGTCGCTCAAGCCGTCCTATTTCAAATCACGGCGACAAGCATCGATGTCTACCGCTACCAACCAGCCGATGAGGAACCCTAGCTTCAGCAGCGACCAAAGCCTTGCGCTGGAGCCAAGTCCTTCCAATGAGTCAGGCGATAGTGATGTGGTAGCGCACCGGTCAGCAGCATCGATCTTATCGCCTGTACACAAAATTATTAGCTCGGCCAAGTCGAGTGTCGGGGCAACATCAGTTCCCACGGAGTCCAATGTAGACGCCGATATACGCGTGGCTGATGAAGAAATGCGACGGCTTGGCAGCAAGCGTAAAGATTTTGAGACCGCGGCTAGGAATCTGGATGACTTGCGCCGGAAAGCCAGTCCCAAGGAGCGTGTCAGTCCGGCACAGGCTCTGCGGGTCGCCAGTCTGAACATCTTCGAGCGTGGGGAGATCATCGACTTCAAGGACATCTACTTTTGCGGGACCCAGAATGCGAAAAAGCATGTTGGTGATCTGACTGCTCAAGCAAACTTTGGCTACGATGACGACCGTGGTGACTATAATATTGTGATTGGAGACCATCTGGCCTACCGATACGAGGTTATCGATGTACTCGGCAAGGGAAGTTTCGGTCAAGTGGTGAGATGCATCGATCACAAGACAGGTGGCCTGGTTGCCGTGAAGATTATCCGCAATAAGAAGAGGTTCCATCAGCAAGCATTGATTGAGGTCAATCTTCTCCAGAAGCTGAAGGAATGGGACCCCCATCGTAAACATAGCGTTGTGAACTTCACCCAAAGCTTTTACTTCCGCGGCCATCTCTGCATCTCGACTGAGCTGCTCGGCATGAATCTCTACGAATTCATCAAGGCACACGACTTTAAGGGATTCTCTCTTAAACTTATTCGTCGCTTTACAAAGCAGATGCTGGGTACACTGGTGCTTCTACACAATAAGAAGGTCATTCACTGTGATCTCAAGCCAGAAAACATCCTCCTCGTGCATCCAATGAGCTCTGAGATCCGAGTCATCGATTTTGGGTCCAGCTGCTTTGAAAACGAGAAGGTGTACACTTATATTCAGAGTCGATTCTACCGTTCTCCGGAAGTCATTCTCGGCATGTCGTATGGTATGCCCATCGATATGTGGAGTGTGGGATGTATTCTGGCGGAGCTTTTCACCGGATACCCCATCTTCCCCGGAGAAAACGAACAGGAGCAGCTTGCTTGCATCATGGAGGTATTTGGACCTCCAGAGAAGCACTTGATCGAAAAGAGCACTCGGAAGAAACTCTTCTTTGACTCGCTGGGCAAGCCGAGACTTACAGTCTCCTCCAAGGGCCGACGGCGTCGTCCCAGCTCCAAGGAGCTCAAGCAGGTTCTCAAATGTGATGACGAGGCATTCCTCGACTTCATTTCCCGTTGCCTTCGATGGGATCCCAGCCGCCGTATGAGTCCACAGGACGCATTGAGGCACGAGTTCATTACGGGGGTGAAAATGCCGTCCCGAGCAAGAACTTATACACTGACGACGCAATCTCCTGCGAAGCGGGCAACTACGTCTTCTCACCCTTCTGCCGGCCGGCCGCTGCCAGAACCTCCTGTGACCAGCCTCAAATCCGGCACGCTGATCCGCAACCGGGATGCTTCGGGAACCTCTCCAGTTAAGCTACCCGCAGGCAAACGCCATTCGACTGTGAGTGGGCTACCGCCGTCGACGCCCGCCAAACGAGGGACCAGTATTAGCACCACCAGTACTCCTGGGTCGGCGCTGCCTCGCGTTGCAGCCCGGAGTATTAGTGGCAAGCCAGACCTCGCGACGGCGGCGGCTGCGACCAGCTTGGTAAGTTTGAAAGAGCCCGACGAAACGCCATGAGCTGGTCATTAACTTGCATACAGAGGACGAAATGAAGCGGGCAGTACCATACAGCTTCGCAATCCCCCCCTTTTCACTTCTTGCATATCTGTAATAATAATTGTTTGAATTGCTTTGTTTTTCAAGGTTGCATAAACGGGTGGAAGCATCGGCGGTTCTGTCTCCCGTTGTCATGATTGATTTTGAACCGTTATGGGCCCCGTGTGGTGGACGTCCAAGGGGTTCGTGGTATACCCTTAATTGAGCATCTGCATGCCTTCCGTATGATTTGCATTTCGATTTTAGAGCCCTTTTTCGAGCATGTTGTTCTCCAATCCTGTCATGACCCTGGGAGCTGTATACTCCCCTTCCTGCATTTGTTTCCTTTGTCACTCTTTCCATCTCATACGCCTTTCTTATCTCTATCTCTTTTTCTTACTTCCTGATCGGGTCCTGATGGCCGGTGTTCCGTGTTCATGGGCGGGTCTGGGTAAATGTGATGTGATGCGTGGATAGCATCTGTACAGTTGTCTCTTATTCTTTGACCTCCCCTCATCATAGATATGGCAGTGACATGAATGGTGCCAGTGGTGGAGAAATCGTGATGTTATGACTAGACTATATAGGCATATATATTGTGCATATCGCCTGTAAACTTTAAGTTTGTACTAAGGATGTTGCTCGTCAGTATACTTCGTGCTAGCAAGCTCGTATTATCTTACAGTCGTGCCGCCTTCGACCTCTAGCTTCACCAAGGCCTAGGATCTCCGGAACCTCGACATCCAATGCAATCCTCGGTTACAAGCTGGTTAGATCCTGGCCACGATATAGCCTCAATTACCGGTGGGCAGTACTGCTAGATGAGTTATAGGCAAATGAGCTGTACAAGCAGCTTTTGAAATATTGAGTTATCTCATACAGATACCACTGAACAAAGAGAACTGTATGCTCAGAGTTTCATCTATTTCATTCTCACGTGCTCTAGTACATAGGAGATTTAAGCAAGAGGGCAAACTGACAGCGCGTATCCAACGGACTTCAACTGCTCCTCCTCCTGCGGATACCGCGGCAGACGAGATAATACCATGTCGTTGAAGTCAGGAAAACTAGATTGAGAGGATAGACTTGCGCTCTCAAATACACGGGGGTAGGCACCAGCATCAGCCCAGTCTACCAGCCACACGTGTCCTTCAGCATCCAGAATTAGATTGCGAGGGCTAATATCCTGATGTGTGATCACTAGCTCCGTAAACTTAAAGGCTGGTATATCCTGTGGGGCCTTTCTCCAAGCCTTGCAAATCTCGAGCTTATGATTGAACCAATCTTCCATCTCCGACGTAGTTTCGAATGGCCCGGCGGAGTAATGACTGAACCATCTCCCACAACAGGGCCCACCGCCAATTGGACCTGCTTTTGGTACAGACAACTCGATAGCCTGCATCTTCACGACCATTTGGGCCGTTTGATTTGCAATGTCCAGCTTTTGATCTGTACTTAGTTCGTCCCAGCAGCTGTCCAGGGGTCGACCATCAATGTAGTCCATAATGAGATATCCCATTGTGCCGAAATACTTAGTATCGTCTTCAACCTGCCAGGCGCGATGGACACGAGGAACTCGAATATCAGTTTTGGATGTGATGAGTTGAAGAACAGCTGCCTCGCTGGAGAGTACATTTCCGCCACCTTTCATTGCAAGCTTTTGTGACAGTCGTACTACGGTCGTCTGACCGAGATCATAGAGAGCAGGTACAGAGAACAGTACAGCAGCAAGCGATTCCTCTGAAAGAGTCTCAAAATCTATGCCGTCGAACGGGAAGGTGTTATTTGCATCTCGACTCGCTGGCTATCGAAGGATGTTAGACGTAGACTTATATACAACTGAAGAGGTATCTGCTACGTCGATAAAAGGAGTAAAAACTCGTTCCATCTCTGACCTGTGCTGTGCAGAATCAATCAGTCAAGGTTGGTTTCCATCTGGAAAAGAAAAATACTTGGTTTGTGTGTTTTGTTGATAATAATTATTGTGTATTTGTTGGTATTTAGATGATAAATGTTCTTGAGAGTGGACTGTCGTGGTACCCAGGCTTTCTTTGCGTACTCTGTCTA